GCCATAGCACTCTACCCAGGGGGACAGCTTGAGGCTCTGTCTCAAAAAAAAAAAAAACAAATTCTCAGAACGTGTGGGCTCAGTCATCAAACTCCATCCAAAATAAAGAAGCCTTGAATACTCAACAGAGAACTGGACCAGGAATTTAGAAATCTGCATTGAGCTATCATCTCTGCTAACTACTGGCCATGTGACTCGGAATAAACCCATTTCTCTTTTCCAACCAAATGTTCTTATAGTAAAACAGAAAGGTTGGATCTTTCAGCCCTTCCACATCAATAGTGCTATGACTGCAGGTTCTCAATCCTTCTTTTCAGGCATCAAGAAAGTATTAAATTATGATTAAGAAAACATGTAAGTGCTCAATGCATTTAGCACTCAAAACATAAAATACATTTCAGGACAATTTCAGTAAGTTGGAAAGAAACTGACATGAAACGCTTGAGTCCTCTTAAAATGGCATTTAAAAAAATGCCAGTCTCAAAAGGCAGAACTGTGGAGACAGCAAAAAGATCAGTGGTTGCTAAGGATTAGACAGAAGGGAGGGATGAGAAGGCAGAACGGTGACGGCTTTCAGGGCTGTGACCCTCTCCTGTATGGTACTATAGTGGTGGAAACATGTCATTTTATGTTTGTCCAAACCCATAGATTGTACAACACCATGAGTGAACCTCAGTGTACGGTGTGGTCTTTGCTTGATGATGATATGTCAATGTAGACTCATCAATTGTTATAAATGTTTCAATCAGCTGGGGGGGATTTGATAATGAGGGAAACGGTGCATGTGTGAGGACAGTGGGTGTATGGAAAATTTCTGTACCCTCTGCTCAATTTTTTCTGTGAACCTAAAACTTATCTTAAAAAAAAATAAAGTCTATTTTTTAATGCCAATCTCTATTTTTTTTTTTGAGACAGAGTCTCACTATGTTGCCCCTTGTAGAGTGCTGTGGCATCACAGCTCACAGTAGCCTCAAACTCTTGCACTTATGCCCAACTCTTGCCTCAGCCTCCCAAATAGTTGGGACTAGCTGGGACTAGCACCTGCCATGCGAGGCTATTTTTTGTTCCAGTTGTCATTGTTGTTTTAGCTGGCCGGAGCTGGGTTCAAACCCACCAGCCTTGGTGTATGTGGCTGGCACCATAACCACTGAGCTACAGGCACCCAGCTGCCAATTTCTATTTTAAAAATTTTTCTCACTCTATTGCCCTGAGTGAGTGCAGTGGTATCATCATAGCTTACTGCAACTCCTGGACTCAAGCAATCCTCCTTCCTCAGCCTTCCCAAGAAGCTGGAACTACAAGTAAGAGCCACAATGTCAGGTCAATTTTTTCTATTTTTAGTAGAGATGGGGTCTCATTCTGGCTCTGGCTAGTCTGAAACTCCTGAGCTCAAGGGATCTTCCTGCCTCTGCCTCCCAGAGTGCTCTGAAAGCCACCTCTGCTTGCCTATTTTAAAGCCTAAACTTCCTGTAGTTAATTTGACAGGGTCTGGGAAACTGTGGATAACCTCATGAAGGCTATATGTCTTTTCTCCTAAGGACCCTCAGAGTCATATACTCTGTTCCAGATTTACAATTTACAAGCCAGAAAATGATTAGATGATTGTGAACTATTTAACTTCAGATTCATCATAACTCTAGAACTCCCTGGAGCTTTAAGATTATACACTATTAATCACAATAGAGAACTGGGAATATGAAAAAAGGAAATATGGCTCGGCGCCTGTGGCTCAAGCTGCTAAGGCGCC